AATGGACATGTTGGTTTAAGGGCCTCCACTGCACTCTTGCCCTGGCTGCAAATGTTGAGGGTCAGCTAGGAGCTGCCTGTTTCTGCTTTGAGGTCTAGGCATTAAGCCCCTTTTTCTTTTCCTTATCAAATCTGCTAGGTACCAAGATTAAAATGAAGGACAAGAGAGCAGTTCCTTCAAATGAAGTCCATGAGACCAAGCCACTATTTGATCAGGTCAAGGTGGACTTCCAGCTTCTCTTCAGGGCTGGGGACATTGCCAAGACAATGAGTTTAATGTGGTTTAGAAACAACAGGAAGACTTATTCTAGGAACCTGACCCCTTTGTGTAAAAACGTGGGTGGAGGGAAAGGCTCTGTACAGCTGAAAAGCCTTTTGCAAAGTCATCCTACTCCATGAACACAGGCTGCAGGATAGCCTATGAACTGAAAAGCTGTTCCAGGCCACACAGCTCTTCCATCCACGCCAGTGTGTTCCTGTCACTTCAGGAATGCTACAATGTTGAGTACTGTCCCCAAACTGTGCAGGGTATCAGTGTGGCAGAGGTGATGCTGAGGGCCCACTGCCTGCCATCACAGTAGGCTGCCCTTCCCAGCATCCCTTACAGTGAGGAAGGGCTAAATTCTGGCTGATGGCAGTGGTGACAGACACCAGCACTTCTAGAACTGGCATCTAAAGTCTTGCATGATCCTTGCGCTCTCTCCCTTCATCTGCTTGACAGGAGCACAATGTCAGCTGGAGGACTCTGAGCCCTACGGCGTCACTGGGTTGAACAGAGAAATGAACTTTTACCATATCCCAGTGTTGGCTCTTACCAGGGATTTGATCCCTTTCCCAGGACTGGCAACAAGTCTGCTCAAATGTCATTTCTCATATATTGAAAAGGGTCCCTCTTACTACTGTACTAAGAATCCTACTGTACTTGGGGGTGGGAGAGAAACAGAAACCGGGAGGAGGTGGTAGAAGTATTGGGTTGACCAAAAACTTTGTTTAGTTTTTTCTGTAAGATGGCTCTAGTAGTGCTTAGTTGTTTTTAACTTCAATTTTGTTAGATTGTATTGAGACAAGTGTCATATCAATGTGCATTTAAAAAAACTTATCAAAATTGGTGAATTTTTGTGTAGCCATTTTAATATTGAAGATGGAAGAAGATATGCAACATGTTTTATTATTTCAAGAAAGGTAAAAATGCAACTGAATCTCAAAAAAAAGATTTGTGCAGTATGTGGAGAAGATGCTGTGACTGGTTGAACATGTCAAAAGGTTTGCGAAGTTTCTTGGTACTGCTAACATTTTGGCCAAATACTACTTTGCTGTGGGGCCATATTATGCATTGGAAGATGTTTAGCAGCACCCATGGCCTCTACCCACTAGGAGCCAATAGCCAGAGATAGCTGACATTCTCAAAATATCCAAATCAATAAAGTTATTGATGAAAAAAATGTCTTGTATTTTACAGAAAAAATCATACGGACTTTTTGACCAACCCAATAGATTGTAAAGTAAGTAAATACTTTTATCTGGGTCTCACCCCCAAGAGACTCTGATTTAACTGGTCTGGGGCGCGGCACAGGACTTTTGAAAAGCAGCACACTTCATGGTTCGAGCCAGGTTACTTTAAGATGAGGAATTTCCTTAGATTATCTGGCTTCTGTTTGCATACATTCTGCCTGAAAGTTTTGGCACCATAAACTAGGTGCTCATCCACTGTAAGTAAGTGCTGACTGAAATACTTTTCATCATTAGAGTGAAATTATCTCTGTCCATAAAGTCAGCTCCACCCTCACAGACAAAATGGAGATTCTTGGAGCCACACCCTCACTCCCTTGAGTGCGTATTCCACTCAGCATCTGCACACCACCTCCAACACAGTTACCTATTCCCCAGCCCCACCAGTTCTCCCCACTTGCCCACTTCTAGGTGGCCTCCTTGGATGAATGTGACTACTTTGTGAACTGAGCCAAGCATTTTGAAGGCATTCCTGTTATGGTGACACTTCCACCAATGGGGGCCGTGATGGGTGGCAGCACGGGGCGGGGGGCAGATGATGGATGGCGGCTGCCGCCGATGCACCATAAACAAGCTAGGCAGTGGCAGCTATGGCAACAGGTAGTGGCCCCTGAAGTGACTGACCACAATGTGGCCACCACTGACATGAACCCGGAACTGGCAGAGAATTAAAACTCCAGGCTCCAGGCCTGGCTGGTGTAGCTCAGTTGGTTGGAGTGTCATCCCATAAACCAAAAGGTCCTGGGTTTGATTCCTGGTCAGGGCACAATCCTAGGTCGCGGGTTTGAGCTCCTGTTGGGGTGTGTACAACTGATCCATTTATCTCCAATTGATGTTTCTCTCCCTAACCCTCTAAAATCAATAAGCATGCCCTTGAGTGAGGATGAAAAGAAAAAACAAACTGCAGCCTCCAAAGTAGCCTCAACAAGGTGACTGATGAGGTTAATGTATAAACAGCCTCACCTCTTGAGTGGGAAGAATATGTTCTCAGCTGTCCCCAGAGAATGATGCTGTTGCCCACAGTGCCAACTGCTGGACAACATGTCCCTGGGGTGCTGCTTCTCTTGCCCTGTGCCACTGCTCACTGCCCTCCAATGCACTTTGGGAGCATCTCTCAAATCCTTGGCCCTGAGTCTGTTTCTGGGAGAACCCAAGTGATGTCAGTACACCATGAACCGAGGATTATGATTCAAACACATGTGACACATTGACAAAACTGACCGTGTACCCAGCCATAAGAACTCAACATATTTCAAAAAAATTAGAATCATAAAACATGCTCCCATCCCAAAGGCAGTTAAACAAGATGACTAGAAAAATTCCCATGTTTAGAAATTAAGAAATATAATTTTAAACTAAATCTGAGATAAACAACAACAAAAAAAGCAAAATAGAAAGCCACACTCTATGGGAAATTTAAGAGCAGGGGTTAAAAAGTAAAAGACTGAAAACCAGTGAACTAAATATTCATGTCAAAAAAGCAAAAAAAACAAAAAAAGAAACCCAAAACACCCAGGAAATTAAATCCCAAATAAGGTAATAATAAAAGAGTAAACTTAAAAACAAATATCAAAAGAAAGATCAACAAAGCCAAAAACAGATTCTGTGAAAAGGTTGATAAAATTTATAAAGACCTGTCAAAATTGAAGAAAAAAAGAGGGTACAGATAACCATCAGAAAGGAAAAAGGGGCATTGTCCTGATACACCAAGGTTGCTGGTTCAACCTCTGCTCATGGCACGCACAAGAAGTGACCAGGCCCTGGCTAGGGAGCTCAGTTGGTTAGAGCACCATCCTGATGCATTAGTGTTGTGGGTTTGATCCCTGGTCAGGGCACACACAAGAATCAACCAATAAATGTATAAACAGGATACATTGATGTTTCTCTCTCTCCCTCGCTCCCTGAGATAACAAATCGGTATTTCCCTCTTTCTTTAAAATCATTAAATAAAACTGAAAAGGAAAAAGGGATTTCACTAGATTCTGTAGACCTTAAAAATTATGATACTCAAGAAATTTATGGCAATCTGGAAATTCAGATCATGTAAAAAACTCTTAGAAATAGTTTACCAATACACAGGAATAGGAACTTTTTATGGTATTTTAAACATGGACAAAGTTCGTTGCAGCTAAGTGCCGTCAAGAGGTGCCACCCCTGCCACCCCCACCCCCTCATCTGGGTTGGCCCCAGGACTTGTTTGACAGTGTGTGGTGCAGTTTCAAGGCTTCCATCTTGCGCCCCTGAGCTCACTGCACAGGGAGCTGATCTAGCCTACTGGAGATTTTGAAACGGAGTCTCAATCTCATCTGCTATCACACTTTTCAGTTTCATGGAGCAGAACACATTCAGAAGCTCTGAGGTTGGCTGAAAACATGCACAGAAAATTGGAGGGTTCAGTCTACAGTCCAAGGAAGCTGGAGCTGGGAACAGAAGCCGCCAGGTCCCCGCAGCCCTTCAGGGACCACCACTTGGACTTTTGCCTTAGGTCCTATACCAACTGCCAGCTGTCTTTGTCTTTAAGATCAAATCGCCAGGACAGACTCCAGCTCATTATTGCAAGCCAGGGCACAAGCCTCAGGTTTCAAATGGCCAGTCTAGTCAGCACTGGCGTCACTTTCAATTTCTGGAGGTCTGGAGTCACCTCCAGGGGGAGCGACTGGTCTAAATGGTGAATCTGGGCACACTGAGCTCAGCACTCTGGGATCCCTCTCTTGCAGACCTGCCCTTCAGGACCTGTGGGAGCCTGTGACCACCAGCTGTGCCCATGGAACCTGACACCCTGAGGGGGACAGGAAGTCCTTGCAACAGCCACTGCCCAGGTCCACTTGGCACTGCCTTCTGTGTGTTGAGTGCTGCTCACAAACTCCCTCTTCTCTAGGCTCTTCTGATGGCAGCGTCCACCCGACTACACAGTGCAGGCATAAGTGCTAGATGGTTGGTGCCCTCAAAACAGCCCACAGCGCAGATGGGGAGCTGCCCCTTGGAGAGTAACTGAGGGATGTTCTATGCAACCTCCCAGAAGTCCTCAGTGGGACTGAGCCCCAGCTGCCCAGTCTATCACTCAACTGGTGCTAAACTCAGGAAGAAAAGGGATGTTATTTGTGCCCCCTAAGCCTTATGTAAACACTTGATAAACACTTGGCAAGTGCTGGCATGGCAGGGAGGAAAAGACCTGTCCCTATGTCCATGAAGCAGGAGACAAGAATGGCTGTGGCAGTTAACAAGGGAAGAGGGGGTACCCTTGGCCCTGGAGACAGGCCCTTCCTTGTCACACTTGGGGATGCCAGGGCACAGAGGACTGGGGTTTCTGCCCAGCCAGCTCTCCAGGGCCCTCAAGTGTTGAAGGCAGGACCCAAAGCTGGGTGTACAGTCTTTATTTATTGTGAGTCCTAATGTCCAGAGACTAACTAGATAGACGTCCAGGGCCCTCAGGACAGCATCTGGTCACTCTTCAGGGCCGGGGGCATTAAGTGGCCAGTCACTCCTGTCCAGTTTTCATATGGTCCAAAGAGTCCTCAGGAGGCAGAATGTGGCTGTGCCTGTTGGGGGGGAAAAACACACTGTCATGTATCAGTCTCTCTTCTGTGCCCAGCCCTGGGGCCACCATGGCGTGGTTGTGTAGACTCAGCGGAGACTGCCTTCGCAGAGCCCATGAACAAGGGATATAGTGAACTGTCACTGGGAGCAGGGAAGGCAGCTTTGCTGTAGGTACTGAATACCTGCTGTGTGCCTGGCCTTGCTATAGGTACCAGGGACCCAGCATTGGATACAACAGGCATAAATCTTTGATTCTAAGGAGGGAGAGACAACAAATGAACAGAAACATTTCTACTTATAGTATCTACAAAGAAAACAAAGTCAGGATAGAGAGGTGTGTGTGGGGGCGGATATCAGTAGCATGTTAAATCAGGGGCTACAAGAACATGAAGTGTTTGAAGAGCATGTTTTATGGGGACAGGTTGGTTGCTTGTCCCAGGAGGGAAGGAGAGAACGAACAACTGGTCCTAAGGTGGGAAAGTGGGGTCTTTACTATTCAGATGCCCAAAAAACTTGAAGAAACATCACCAACATATGACTAAGAAACTAGCGTGGGCAGTATATGATCGCTACTGAATGTTACCTAACAAATAAAAGCTCTTCCTGCTAGTAGTTCCTGGGGCCTGAACCTTTCACTTACCCCTGTCTCATAAAAACACAAGGCTGCAGGTCCTGGGGACAGGGCTTCTGCCCCATCTTTAGCAAGAACGCCTCTGGAACAGGTGATGGGAGGGCAGTGGTTACAAAGCAGTGACATGGAGGCATATGAGGGAGCTCAAGGACTGTGAAAGCCCGTAGGGATGGGCCACTGGGGGAGGTTTTCTGAGGCAGGTGATATCTAAGCTGGAATAGAAATCAGCCAGCAGGACTAGGGCGCATTCCAAGCAGAAGAAAGCAGCTGGATAAAAGCCTGGCAGCAGGACAGACACGGGCTCGAGTGAGCACCCATTTCCTGGGGCTAGAACACAGGGCTCGAGATGGGGGATGAGGGCCCAGAAACAGCACGGAACTGAGACCTGCCTGTGGAAAGGTTTTTAAATACAGCAGAATAAGTCAGGCTTCTTCGGAACACTCGGGGACCATCACAGCGAATGAACGGCTTGGAAGGAGTAAGAGGAACATGGAAACCCAACAGAAGGCCTCTCCCCTGGGAGTAAGAAGGGAAGACGGGGCCACAAGGACAGAGATGGGTAGTAGATAAGAGAGTGTCAGAGGGGCTGGTGAAGAGCTGACCTTTGCCTTTGGAGCTCACAGTCCTGTAAACATCTAAACCAGGGTTTTTCAACATTTTTTCAATATTGCAACCCTCTCCCACCACCCAGAAGTATTTTCAGGCAGTTATTTCAAATTACACCCATTCGTCAAATTTTAATACCACACATATACTATGTCTGTTTATATACTGTATACATTTAAAGGAATACAACCTTTTAACCCATCCTCACGCCCTTCCAGGATCTTACCGCAACCCAAGTACATGCCCTGACCACAACTGAGCCCATAACCTTTTGGTGTATGGTAGGATACTCCAACCAACTGAGCAACCCGACCAGGGCTAGTTGTCAGTTCTTAAGTGCTCCCTTGCCATTGTGCAGAGGCGGGTATGTGAGGATTCAGGGACACCAGAGGGACAGTAGGACAGGTGCCCTGGAAGGCATGTGGCGGGCCTAAGCAGGGGCTTGAATGGGGCAAGAGGTGACAGTATTGTGGATTCTGGATGCACCTCAAGGTCGTGCTGGGAGGGCGGGGCTGAGAGTTACACCAGGTCTTTACCTGCTCAGTTGAGGATGGGCTCGAAGGCTGTACCTGCTCAGCACATTGCAAGAAGCGGCGCACCTGCTCTGCACAGTTGCCCACAGCTGCCTCATTCTGCCGTAGACACTCCTCGAAGGCCTCAAAGGGCTCTGCACAGGCCTGGCGGATCTGACGGATCACTGGGCTGCAGGGAGGGTACCTCAGGTGTCTAGGCTTCCACTGTACTGCCCCACCCCACTGTTCACCCCTCCACAATGCCCAGCCTCACATTGTCCTTCCCCATCTGTGCTGCCTGACCCAGATCTGCCCACCCCAACACCATGAAATGTCCCTGGCACTGCCTACCCAATCCCCCCCAACCCCGCCCCTGCATTGCCCCTCACCACCCTGCCCCGGCACTATCCCCAAACTGCCAACTCCTGGACGGCCACCTACCCACTGTCCTCCGAGCTGCCTACCCCTGCACTGTCCCTCCTGCACTGTCCCCCTGCCCGCACTCTCCCACACTCACTGGTTGGAGGTGCATCGAGCGATATTCATCTTGAGATGGTGACAGTCCCGCTGCCAGGACTCGGGCTTGGCGGCCACACATTGGCCGTACTGGTCCAGCTCCCGGCCGCAGTGGCGGGCAGTGATCTCCAGGGCCGCCTGCCTGTGGGACACGCAGGTAAGGGGGTTCTCACCTGGGTACAGGTAGGGGTGGAAGGAGCCTGGGGTGGGACCCTTGGTCTGCCGGGTCCTAGAACAGGGCCTGCAGGGTGCCGGGCTTTGGAGAGGGCCGAGGGCTTCAGGGTAGGTGGTGGGGGCCCTTAAACAGGTCTGGTCACTCTAAGATGGGCTCAGGGTCCTAGCAGAGGGTCCTGGATCCCGGACATTTCCTCGCGGAGCCTTAGAAGTAGGACCCAGAGCTCTGGAAGGTTCTGGGAGCCACAGGTGGGTGTCGGGGTCTGACGCCCGGGTAAAGCTCTTAGAGCGGGGACACTGGAGGGACACTGGGGGCCCCGATGGGTCGCAGGGTCCTCACGGCACTATCTGGAAACACTGGGTGAGGCTGGGGGCCAGGTCTGTCTGGTGGATGCTACAAACAGGCTAACTCTTGGGACAGGCCCGGAGGGCAGCACAGGGCCAGCGTCTAGAACGAGTCTGTTGCGGAGCTCTGGGGTCCGAGGAAGATGAGAAAGGCTCAAGAGAAAACGTGGGGTGACAGGGGGAGGGGGTTGGGGGGGCGAAACGAGAGACTCCAAGGACAGGTTTGGGGTCCTGCAGGTGGGGTGGGTGTGAGAGTGGACCTCAAAGTCCTGGGTTCCAACGAGGGGGGCGGGGCCTGAACACGCGGGGAGTGGGTAATGGAGCTGAGTCCTGAGTTAGGAGATCCAAGTAAGAAACACCATCCCTCCTCCCGGATCCAGTCCGGGTCCCGGTCACCAGAAAGGAGAAGGCATGAGCGGCAAGCGCGCAAGGGAGGCGCTCCCGCTACTCACATGTTGAGGCGGATGCCAGGGAAATCAGTTGGGGAGGAGCTCCCAGCCTTTTCCGGTGTCAGGTTGTCATGGCGGCGCCCTCCTGTCTTTTTTTCCGGTGGAACAGCAGCCCAGCGACCCTATTGCTTTTAGCGCCAACCTGTCACGGTGGCTCATAGCCTCTCCTTCCGCCCGGACCTGCAATGGCAGCGCCCTGCTAACCACTTCCGGCCCCGACCTTCAATGGAGGTGCTGCCGGCTCCATCGCCATATCTATTTCTTTTTCCGGTTTTACCCATGCGGAGCCCCCAGCCTCCACCGGAAGTAAATATTGGTAAGTCCAGGGTTGCTTCCGCACCAAGGCAGAGCTACGCTCAGCTGGGCCACAGCCGCTCACGGTCCTGACACCCGGCTGGAGTTAGTGGCCCGGCCCTCAACGATCTGCGCTTGCTACTTGGTTGGGCACCTCTTCGCCGTTGGCCTTACCCATGGGCTCACCGTCCTCTCAGGGCTCTGGCAGGAAGGGGCGTCACCTCAGAGCAGGACCCTGGTCCGTCTTGCCCACTAGAGTAAACCCTTCAGAAACGGGGCAGATGTGAGTTCCCGGCCAGGCTCCTCTGCAGTTCCTCCCGGAATGCTGACAATTCCGGGGGAGGGAGGGCCTGGACCGAGCGGCACCTGTGGTTGGGCCTGATTGTTACACGGTGGAGGCAGAGCACCGGTCCAGCCACAAGCACGCCGGGGTGCTCCTGGCTGCGGCCACACGAACACACGTACAGTTGTCGCAGCGTTCCAGTCGCCAAGATATGGAAGCAGCCCAAGTGTCCATCAACAGATGAGGGGATAAAACTACGTCACATTTACAAAATGGAACACTACTGGGCCTTAACAAAAAAGGAAATTTTACCATTTGCAACAGTACCGGTGGGCCTGGAGAACATTATGCTAAGAGAAATAAGCCAGTCAGAGAAAGACCAATACCATTTGATTTCACTCATATGTGGAATCTAATGAACAAACTGAACAAGGAAAATGGGGATAGATTCATAGATTGAGCAGAACGACAGCTAGTGGTGGTGATGGGGGGCGGGGGGTGAAGCTATTGAGCAAAAGGAAAAAGGACTCATGGACATGCAACAGTGTGGTGACCGCTGGGGGTAGATGGTGTAAGAGGACTAAATGGTAATGGGGGAAAACAAAAATAAGGATTACCTTTTTAAAAATGTAAAACGTTAAACTACAAAACCTGTAAGAGACTGCATGAGAAAATCTTTGGGCTTGGTGAAGAGTTCTTAGACATGACATCAAGAACATGACCCACCAAAACCCCAAAACTGATAAATTGGGCTTCATCAAAATAAAAATAACTTGCTTTGCAAAAAGAACTGTGAAGACAAGACACGCTACAGACTGGGAGAGAATATTTGCAGAACATTTGTGACAAAAGCCTTCTATCTAGAATATAAAATGCAGCCTCAAAATCCAACAGTAAGATAGCCCACTTAGAAAATGAACAAAAGAAACAAACAGACATTTCACTGAGCAGATATAAATGCAGAAAAGCTCATGAAAAGATGTTCAACATCATCTGCCGTTAAGAGTTGTGCAGATTAAAACCACAATGAGACATCACTACACACCTATCAGAACAACTAAAATCAAACAGGAGCACCAAGTGCTGGTCAGGATGTGGAAGAAATGATCATTCATTGCTGGTAGGAATGTAAAATAGTTCAGCCACTTTGGAAAACAGGTTGGCAGTTTCTTCTAAAACCACGCACCACTACCACATGACCTGGCAATTTCATTCTTGGACATCTGTCCCAAGAGAAGGAAAAATGTATATTCATGCAAAAACTGTGTTCAGAGCAGCTTTGTAAACACCAAAAACCAGAAACAACCAAAATGTGCCCCTACAGGTAACTGGTGGAATACACTGGCATATCTACAAGGAGGACTACACAGCAGCAAAAATTAATGAACTGATATATACAGTGGCTTTAATGCATCTCAAGGCAATTACATTGAGTGGAAAGGCCAATTTCAAAAGGTTACAACTATGATTCTACTTATATAATATTCTTGAAATAAAATTAGAGACGAGGGACAGTTTCTTGGTTGCCGGGGGTTAAAGATGGTGTTTCGGGTGGGGCTGGCTGTAAGGGAAGAGAGAACACAGCAGAGCCTGTGGAAATTGAGCAGCTGTCTTGACTATGGTCATCACATCTATCTGCACAAAAGTGAACAGAACTATACACACACATGCACAAATGAGTGCATGTGAAACTGGTAAAAAAGGGCCAAACTGTTAAATTGTCTCAATGTCAATCTCGCAGTTGTGAATCTGTAATTTAAAATAAAAGCTAGAAAAAAATTATGTTTTCTTCCAATTTTGGTGCTGCTAAAAAAACCTGGAGAAACTTGAACAATTGATGTCAGCTGTGGGGTTGTGAGGCATACAGACTGGAATGGGGTGGGGAAATCTAGTTGGGATTCTACTAACGTAGAGGGAAGTGTCAATACATTCAAGGTCTCTTTCCTAAATTTTTTCAAGTTTCATGAAGCAAAACCAGGATATACCTTGAATGGATAATACTTCTCAGTCTGGCCCTACCTGCCCCATAATTAGTGACAGACACCTAAAGCCAGAGTCAGAAAATAATAATCTAAGGAGAGTTTAAACATATAATACCTTATACTTGGCATTAAGCTATCTACTGCTAACACTGTTTATAATAGCCAAAAATGGAACAGCCCAAATAAATATCCATCAACAGAATACAGAACAATGAAATACAAAGAAACATACACAGAAAAGGAAAAAACAGCCACTGGGTTTTAGAGACTTAGTATGAAAAAATAATGTAAAATATCTCAACACATTTTTAATATTTATTACATGTTGAAATGGCATTCTGGCTGTATTACATTTAATAAAATAGAGTATTAATGTTATTTGTTATAAAAACAACCTTAATATCCATCAAGAGGTAAGTGGATTAAAAAATATACTATACACACACAAGGGATAATTCAACCTTAAAAAGGAAATACTGCCACATACATAACTTTGATGAACTTAGAGGACACTATGCTGAGTGAAACAAGCCAGTCACAGAAGGACGGAGACTGCATGAAAGAGTCAAACTCACATAAATAGTAGAATGGTGGTTACAAGGGGCTGGCAAGAGACAGAAAGGGAAAATTGTTATTCAGTGGGTATAAACTACTAATACAAGATGAGTATCTAGAGATCTGTTTGCAACGCTGTATAATAATACTGTATTGGGTCACCTAAAAATTCAAGAGGACATATGTCAAGTTTAGTGTTCACAAATAATAAAAGCTAGAAAATACTCTCTCTCCCCTCTCCCCCCACAAAGGGGCACAGGAAGCTTTCAGAGGTGATGTTTATTACCCCAACTGGTGAACTGAATACACTAAAGATGTGCAGTGTTTGGTACAATTACACTTCAATAAAGCTGTTAAAAATATTCCGCCCTTTTACTTTAATTAGAAAATACAAAACCACACACATGGCTTACATCATGTTTGTACTCTCCATCTCTTTGATGGACAGTGAGTGTTTGATAGTCACTGCCTGTTGAAAGCACCATAGGAAGAACCTGGGGTTGGAAACTTTTCCCTGTATATCCTGTTTATTAATGTGGAAATTTTGAAAAAATACAATGAAAATCAACTGCAGTGGTTATTACCAGAGAGACTGAGAACCTTGAATTCTTGGTTGCCAGGTCTTAGTTGAAAGCTCTAACAACCCTGGAAAAAAATTCAGAGTAATAAAGCAACACCTTCATTGAAGTTATGTTTTGTTTTAATCTGATAGAACTCCTAACCCAAAAGGATACATCAAATCAAATCACATCCAGTTTTACTTTGATGTTCATAGCTGCCAGTTCAGCTACAAAATATCGAAAAACATAAGGCACAGAAACAGTGTCGATAGTGTCACTGCGATTACACACAGCACAGCTGTATTTTCTGTTGCGCATGGCTGACCACGAAGGGGGTGGCTTCTCCAACAGCGGAGAGAGCAAACTGCCACACTTCACACACACGTGGGCTATTGACCGGTCAGAACAGTTGAAGAGGCGGTCGTGAAGGAGAAAAGAAGTTCCATGAGCTAAAAGAGCATCCCTCTCCATTTCCCCAAAACGGATCCCGCCCTGCACATTCCTCCCCCCAATGGGCTGGTTAGTTACTCTGTCTCTGGCTCCTGTGGTTCTGACCTGGAATTTGTCTGAGACCATGTGGCGTAACCGCTGGTAATAAACTACACCTATGAAAATGTCTGCTTCCAGTTCTACCCCACTTATGCCACTGTACAGTCTCTCGGTGCCATAGTAGTTGTAGCCACCAGCTTTTAACATCTCACCAAAGTATTCCAAGGCCGAGTTCTCCTCTGAAAAGATGAAGGGCGTGGCATCATGGCAGAGACCATGCAGAGCTGCAGACTTGCCGGCCATGCTCTCAATTAACATACCAATAGTCATTCGGGAGGGGAACCCGTGAGGGTTGAACAGAATGTCTGGGACCATTCCACTTTCAGTAAAGGGCATGTCCTCGGCTGGCCACAGTCTGCTCAGGATGCCCTTCTGACCGTGACGGCTGGCAAACTTGTCTCCGATGGTTGGGTTCCGAGGGATTCTCATTGTGATGCAAACACACTTGAATTTCCCACTTCCGGTATCATTGCTACACACTTTAATGTTATCCACAATACAATATTCTTTACTCCTAGGAAAAATTAAACCATACAAAAGGTCAAGCCATTTCTCTAAACTTATACAGCTGTGTAAGTTTTATATATGATTAGTACTTCATAAAGGGCATTTGCAAAACTTATTCTTAACTCTTTTCTAATATGGACAGAGTTGGTTTCCCTAAGAGTATCTATGAATAGGGCTACTGGTTTTGGTAACTACAGAACTGTTCCTTAAAACAACTATTATGAAACTGGTATGAAGACCTACTGTTAAAACCCCTTTTAGAGATGTAAAATAAGCTAAAAAATTTATTTATAAACTCAACATTTTAGCTGTGAAATATTCCTAACAATATGCATGAGAGAGATGGTCAAGTCTGAATAATATACTTTTAAAATAAACCAGAACTCTCATCAATTATAACTGACAAGTAGCAAAGCAGAGGCAGCACAACAGATAGCAAACTTTGT